TATTCAACACTGAGCCTGACTGTCATTAAGTGACTAATGCTACCACTAATGCTATGTGCTGCGTAGCACCTCAGATTCTGAGAGCCCCAGAGATTCCTGTTCTTCGTGCATGGAACAACTGCCAGCCTCTTTTCCAAACAGGAATGTTTGAGGAAGTCGGCTAGAAACAGGAGCTGATTCTCACATCTTTCCTGTGCTGCTTTTGAAGTGTCAGGCATCAGTGGCACCACTGTCAGTGTCTCACCCTAGCACATACAATAAAACACTCACCAATCTGTGGCTTCTCCTTTTCTTCTGCCACAAATAGCAATCCCTAATAGCTGAAACACGCCCACTCTGCCACCCCAGCCAGCAGCTGCCTGGCCCCGGGGGTCAGCTGTGGGTGTGCCCAGCGATGGCTCCTCAACAACGCCCCTCAGAAAAAACTTAGGTATGAAGTTGGTGGTGGCCTTACCCACATGTGAGCAAGAATGTTGACTTCAAACATCCTTTCAATCTGGTGGTCCTGAGTCGAGAGCAGGTCGGCAGCTGTAATCACACCGGCGTTATTCACCAGGATGGAGACATCCCCAATGTCCCTTTTCACCTTTTGGACAGAAAAAAAAGGAAAAGTGTGTATCATGCATAACGAAAAAAATGCCAGGCTGTGGAAGATGAGTGACAATTAATGTAATTCTTAACGTCGTTTCTTTTAGGGAGAGGAAGATCCTGCCTCCTTTCCAGATGGGGTAGGCATTGTGCAGTGGTACCATGGAATCTGGTTTAGCTCTGGTGCTTCTGCCTTCTGTAAGCCTTCCCAACATTGCCCACAGACACAGCATGCTCTGTGTAGTCACAGCAGGGACTATGGACGTACAGGCTGTTTTGAGCCAGCTGGAGCACGTCCTTTACAACCCAGTGTCCCCAGTGCTGTCTGCGTCCTGTTCTTTAGGAAACAATACGGCAGAAAAAACAGAAGTGCTACTCTGCTCTCTGTACAGGAAGCTTCAAGAAGTGGGGAGATTCCGAGGGCTTGCATAATTTGTGTACAATACAACTTCTCTTGTTTGCCTGACTTTTCTAAAAACTGAGCACATTTGGGTAAGCCTTTGGACGTGCCCCTGCTCCCCTACCTTCTCTGCAGCGCTGTAGATTTCCTCCCTTTTGCTGCAGTCCACCACAAAGGCTTGAACAGTGGCTCCCAGCCTTTCGCATTCTGCTGCCGTGTCCTCAACGCCGTGCTGGAAGAGGCAGAAAAGAGACACGCATACAGAACTGTACCCTGCTTGTGTGTTGCTGCTTGGGCGCCATGGCAGATAAGTGAGAGGCTGAAGGGTTTTAGATTACATTTGGAAGTATAACTGCTGCCAAGCCCCTCAACAGCTCGTGGCTGCCCCGG